CCCCCCCCCCCCCCGCACGCTTCGGACTCTTGAATCGCGACGTAGGCGCGCGGTGCGCCGGCGCGCATGCTGAGCTGGAAGCTGCTTAGCTTTGCATGATGGTCACGTGACCCCCACTCGAACAGCATGATATGATGGGCCAGCCAGGATATTCATGATTCACGATTGATTCGTGATTTGCATGGAAAGTTGCTGTACTTGTCTCGAGTGGAAGCATCGAACAGGCAACAGGCAACAGGCAACAGGCACGACGAGCATGCGCGCGCGCGCGGGTCTGCATGGCATGGCTAGCCAGCCAGCCAGCCAGCTTTGGATCGTAGGCTTAGGCTGATTGTCGGCGCGTGTCCACATCAAAGCAAGGCCAAGCCTCGCTCGCCACGCACATCTCTTCCCGCATCTCTCCACCCTCACCCAACCCCCCACCCCACTGCCGCCGACACTCACCACTTGACTTTTAGAATCTGAAACGAATCGTCAGGCCACATTCACCACTTGTCAGCACACGCAAACACAGCCCCCCGGCAGAACTCGCGATGACGGGGGAATGCGAAGAAAGCAAAAAATGTTAGGCTCTGTATCAGGCAGACTAGCTGTCCTGTCCTGCCCTCTCCCCTCCCCTCCCCTCCCGTCCTGTCCCGTCCCGTCCTGCGCCCAACCCCGCGCTTGTTTGCTCCCGCCGCAGCCGCAGCCGCACCAGCAGGCGCAATTACAGCCGCAGCGACTGACGCGCCATCATGAGAATTCGCAAGTCTGAGTGGCGCGGCGGGGCGCGGTGCTCGATGAGTTGTCGTTGAGGGGGCGATGAGTGGCCCGAATGGCGCCCATCTTGATGTGGCGTGTGCCTCCTTGCACACGCCTCTTTGGTGAGAGTGTAGCGTGCAGCAAGCCATGCGATGAAAAGAGCCGCTTCGCGGCCAAGCTCGCCCCATCTCTGTGTGTGCTGCGTTGAGATTTGCAAATACGGTGCAAGCACCTGTCTGTCGGCTTGGGCGAGCGCTCTTACCAAGCAGTTGTCATAGACGACCAAGACCTTTTCTCGCGCCCCTGACATGTTGCGTAACCCTTTGCCACTCGAGACTCGCCTCGCCAAGCTGCATTCCGCCACGTTTGCCCCGCACATCACCCCTTCCAGCGATCATTCACATTGTGGCAAAAATAAACTTGCCGCCTTCTCCTCGCACACACACACACTCTTTCTGACTTTTGAAGTCGCAGCCGGAATTGGAAAGGAACGCAATGTATGCATGGAAAGCCCTCGTCTTGCTCTTCTCCAATCAACCATTCCAGCCTTCGATTCTGCCCGCAGCTGGAATCTGCTGTTGCATCTCGACAGGCTCATCTTCGCTCGCGAGAAGCAAAGGGCAGGGCGGGGGAGCAGCTTCGCTCGCCCAACATGCGACTTTTCGCATCCACATCGGTATACATTCTCTGCTCCGTGCAGATATGGTCGATGGGGCAAGCAGTAGGGGCAGGAAGCTCAGCAGAGCACGTCACTGCAAGCACGGATACGAGCACATCCGCACTGCCTCGTCCCGCCATTACACGTCTAGGCCGCAACGGAGGGGTGGTGCACATTGCAAGCGAGGATGCATCACCCATTCATCCTTCGCACCTCATCTCCGCCACAAAGCATCTCGAACAGGATGCGCACATCAGGTACCGCAAGACATCTGCCGCTGCTGACAACTCTTCGCGACCGCAACAGCAAGACCATGGCCTGGAAGTGGTCATGGACAAGCAGCGCGTGGGAGATGTGGAAGGGCGTCAAGCGATGGTATTGAAAGCGGCGCATCATTACAAAAAACATTTCTTCCCCAATGCTACGCACATGCGAGTGAGTCTCAGTGTGGAGCGCATACGCTTTGCACATTCACCCCCTCCAGCTGACGCATGACGCGCGCGCGCGTTGGGGGGGGCTGCGGCGGAATGGAATGATCTCGCTTGGCTTGCGCTTCGCAGTTCCCCACTCGGTTCAGAAGCACAGAGGATGAACCAGTATGGCACGGCGAGCCTCTGGTGTATGAAGGCCTACGACCGGTGGAAGGAGCGGGCATCACATCCACAGGCAAAGCTTACAGCGGACACCACGTCTTTATGTCACCCAGTACCAGCGACACGGGCCGCATGATGGCCAAGGATAATCGCCACTTTACCATCATGCGCTTCGACGCGGACGAGCACCAGCCGGGTCCCAAGGCCAAGATCTACACGCCGCACTTTGTGGATAGCAAAGTGCAGGGCTGGGAGGAGCAGGTGGGCGCAAAGGCGATGCGCAATGCTCAGAGACCTTCTATTCAGCATTTTGCCAAATTGACCGCAACAGCGGCGAGCGGTAGGATCTTGCCTGCTGGACTCGCCGAAGCGGCCAAGATACCGAACGCGGACAGAGCGCACAAATTGGAAGTGGGCGGTGCGCGCATCACCTCCAAAGACTACTACGATGTGACGGTGGACAGCTTGCAGGATTATGCGGCAAAGTATCATCCTGAAGCCAGGAGCGTTACGGTGAGTGCGGTTCGATCGAGCGAGCGGAATGATACGTCGACTGCTGACACGAACAGGTTCGTCGCTCGTGCTCGTGCTCGTGCTCGTGCGCGTGCTGGCGCGTCGCAGCTGGTCAAAGGTCTGACCTCAATGTCAAAAGACGAACCAAAGCCGCACTACAAGGTGAGCATGTACGACGCAGAAAGGTACCCCATCCCAGGCGGCGGCTTCACCAGCCAAGGCAAGGCCTTTTCAGGTCTGCATCACGTCTTTCAAAAACCGGGCACGAGCTTCAAGATCAAGAATCTCAACGTCGTCGCCGTCGACCCCGGGCCATTGGCCCATGTTCGATCCAGCAGGACCGACTTGGATCATCTCTTTCCCAACAATGATGCGAGCGACGAGTCGTTTGAACATCATCAAGCTTACGTTGGTCACGTGGTGAGGGGCAGAATTCTCAAGGCTCCTTCGCACTCGCCCATTCAGGAGCGAAAACGTCCAAAGCCCAAGAAGTCTACTCGACCCCACACGCCTTTCGAATCGACAGCGCCGAATGCGCCTGGCGAGCAGGTAGCTGCACCTCGTCAAGAAGTCCACCCTCAGATTTTGCACTCCGGCGCTGCGTCGGCACATATGCAGGCGCAGGCTGGCGTGCCATCGAATTTCAACAGCATGACGAGAGAGAGGCCGAACAAATCTTCAGCTGCTCCCGCTGCATGGCGACAGATAGTAGGTGCGCCGAGCGAGCAAGAGATTGCTGAAGCGCTCAAGGAGAAGCCGTCAATCTTGGAGTCGAGCGTGGAGTATGCGCACGATTCCACTCTCTGGCAATCCCACCCTCGTTTTCTCGGCTTGCACAGGGATAGGGGAAGACCGCATGTGGGCGTGCACAAGGATGGAAAATGGCAAATTAATCCACGCAAAAGACGAGGAAGACCTTCACGGGCGGAAATGTTGAGGGCGCTAAATGGCCCTTTTGGTGCTTCTTCATCCTCTTCGCGAGCAACCTCACCATCGCGCGACACCTTGCACGATAGCTCTAGGTCTGGAATGAGCACATCGTCGGCATCTTCATCGGGATCGGATTCTCACCGGAGCATGCTTGCACTCTCCAGCTCCAGCGAGCCTAGTCCCAAAGGACCATCACCATCAACAGTGCACGCCTCTTCTTCTGCAAGACCATCTACCTCTGACGCTCTTGCCGCTCACGACTTGCACAACTTGCACCGCTCCTTTGGGCAACAGCATGCGGCTGCAAACGCAAATCCGAGCGATCTGCCTCCTTTGCCAGAAGCTTTGCCTTCCAGCAACACCTTGTACGAGCACGAGCACGAACACGGTCACGGGTACGATTACGAGCATGGGTTCGAGCACCAGCACGAGCACGAGCACTTGCCGCACTGGCATGCGTCTGTCCACCCGTCACAACAAACGTTGCCATCCGGGCACACTTCGATGCATGAGCTGCACACCTTCTTTGGAGCCGAGCATGCGCACGTGCATTCTTTCCAGTCCATCTTTGGCACGGAGCACGCGCACACGGATTCGCTCCACAACATCGCTACATACACGAGTCATGTGCAAGGCGATCCGCCTCACTCGACCATTGGCACGGAGCACGAGCGCAGTCATTCGCATCCTTCCATCTTCAGCATCGAGCCTGCACACATGGCCTCTCCGCTGCACTCCTCTTTTGGCACACAGCATGCGCACAATATCGCGCATGCTGCCACAAGTTCGAATCACGAGCATGCGCATCCCTACCTCGCGCACTCGCCCGCCTCTTCCGATGCCTCGGCCTCTACAGAAGACTGGATATCGCGCGTGGTCAAGACGCCTCCGAGGATGCACCTGCCGTAATCTTTTTCCAGTATGGCAGCGAGCGAGCGAGCGGGAGACGAGACGGGCAGCTAAATAAAGGCTCAACAGTCCTCCGCTTCGGCAAGTGCGCCGAGAATGCAACAAGAAAAATGTTGGGGCGCGCGCGCGCGCTCGCGGGCGGTCAGTCAGGAATGAACGGCGAGGATTTTGGAGATTCATGACATGACTGCACGAGTCCATTCACAATTGTGAAATTCCATCGATGGATCGCACGCCTTTCATCTGTGGCAGCGATTAGACAGCGTCTGTCCTCACGAGCTTGCCGATCCGTCTGACGATCGGCAGCGAGTGGCTATCGGTATAGCAGAGCTTCTTGTCATGTCGACTGCAAGCCGTTCATGCGCAGGACGAAGCTGCCATGTGTTTATGCTCAGCAGACCTGAAGCCTGGCATGCTGTGATAGCTCTGCTGCAAAGAGATAAGAGCTTCGCCACACCTCTTCGCGCACCTCTTTTCGCTGCCGCTAGGGCGCAACCACGATCAGCCCAGGACGGAGCGAGTCTTGGAAAGAAGGTGTCAGTGGCGCGCAGTCACGCATCTCGCCACCGAGCGAGTGTGTTTTGAGCCAATGAACGCGACGCCAGATACACGTTTGGCTTATCTCAAAACGTCTTGCATCGTAGCAGACATGAGTCTTCATGTGGGGTCAGCCAGTCAACGGATGCTGAAACTGCGATCTGCTCGCAATCGCATTCTCAAGTCTTCCTCGATCGAGCTCTCATCCATTGAACTTTGCGATCGCGACACGAGCGCAGGATCTTCTTTTGTGCCCGACTTCAGGTCGCCACCATGCCATCATGCTGTCGAGGTACCTTTTTGGCTTTCTGCCTGCAATCTCTGCAGCGGCGTGACGTATGTGGGACGACGAGGCACGTAAAGGACTGGCGCTCATCGCAGCCGGTGCTCCCCAGGATGAGAGCATCGCTTTCCCCCTCTCTCACTCATCATGTCGAACCAGCGAGCGTCGCGCTGGCGCTGCCATTTGCTCCTCGCAGCCTCGGTCTTTGCGCTCTGCAGCGCCGTGCCTCTCTATGGCAGTGGTGCACCTGCAATACTGCAACAGTATGCTACAGGCAACGTTGACGAACCACTTGCTGACTCGCCTAGCAAGCAATGGAAGATTGATGCTCGACGCAAGCAAGAACGCATAAAGACGACGATTGTACGTCAAAAAGACTTGCCCGCTCAGCATCTCATCCCTTCGAATGCAGGTCACCCAAATTTCGACGCTAGCAACATTCAAAGGATGCCTGGTGCACCGCTGCACGCCGTTCATGGTCTGCACGTCGCGTTTGATGGCGTATATCTTCAAGGCAAAGTGCGTCAAGATACGATCAGAGTGGCAGCTCATCATTACCAACAGCACTTTCATCCCGATGCGACGCATGTGCGCGTGAGTGTGGCGTGGCGTGGCGTGCGTCCGTCGGAGCGGCAAGGCAAGGCTTTGGGTGCTGATTCGAGTTCGCGAGCGCGTACGCGCAGGTGAAGAGCACTTTCAGAAAAACGCTCCACGAACCGCTGGTTCATTTGAAGGCCGAGGTGTGGAAGGGCAATCAGATGATACCGGGTGGTGGCATCACCTCCAAAGGTGAGTCACCTCATGCCTTGCAGCCTTTGCGAGAGGCTCACACGCTGACGGGCGGGAAGCGCGCAGGCGTGCCGTACGAGGATCATCACATCTTTCTCGCACCAGGAACGGCAGTCAGAAGCAGGTATCGTACCGAAACTTTCGACGCTTACTACCGCTCCCCCGATGCGAGCATCGCGCGCGCCAAGACCTTTGCGCCATGGTTCAGAGATGTCAGCGTGACCGACGAGAGCATCGGCAAGGGAAGCCCACCTCTTCATCCTACGCGACCATCGACTCGTTTGTACGAAGACCTGACCAACACTCCAGCAAGCGGTAGGATGCTTCCCGCTTCGCATGATGCTCAGGCTGCGATACCCTCTGCAGAGACGCGTGAGATCAACGTGAGTGCAAGACCAATATCGGAGAAAGATTACATCGACGTCATTGGCGCCAGCGTCAAGCACTATGCGCAGAAATATCATCCACAGACAACAAAGGTGACGGTGAGTGGTCGGCAAGTGTCTGCGCCCGTGGTCACGCGGCCCTCCCTGATTTGCGGTTTTCCGGACTGGCGAGGCTGGCGCACAGATTGTAAAGGGGCTCAACTCTCGACCTGATGAGCCGGTGCCGCACTTTGAAGCTGTATTGTACAAGCAAGCTGGAGGCAAGAAGCACAACACCTACACAAAGATTGCAGGCGGTGGATTTTCGAGCACGGGCATCGCGTACAAGGGACACAAGATCTATCAAAAGCCGGGCACAAAGTTCCTGAGGAATTGGAGAATCATCGATCCGACGGATCCTGGACCCAAAGCGCACGTGCATGCCAGTCGGACCGACTTGGACCACATCTACCCCGACACGGCAATGGCCATGCGCGACGCTGGCCAGCACTACAGAGCAAAGCCGATGGGGAACGTCAGGCCGCCGCAGGGCAACAATCTGAACGGACCGCGCGTCCAGATTTCGTGGGATCCGAATCAACGTGCCAAGCACGACAAGACTCGGACCAGGCTAGCAGTGGCTGCGCATGTTGTGGCTGACGATGAGGCTCCGACACACCGCATTACGAGCATGGCTCGTCCCATCGCATCTCCTCGATTCTATCTGAGCGAGGCAGGTGTGCCGGAGCGGCACCGCAGTGCAATCAAGCGACCTAAACGCCAAACAAGGAGGATTCGCATCGAGCCCGCGCGCGTACTTGGCGCGCAAGAAGCAGATGGGGAGCATGCGACATCGACCCATCCTTTGGTCGCTGGAGCATTGAGCGGTTCTGGGGTGACGCAAGCGGAGCAGACGCCAGGTTCACCTTCCGCAGCATTCGCAACGCGAGTTCTGGAAAGTCCAGCAGGAGCGGCAAGAACAGCGACAGATCAGACGCACCACCATACCGGTGCGCACGCGCACACCTCGCGCTGGTCTGAAGTGAGGTCTTTCGACTCGGGGCGAGACGCCGTAGCGTCCGACAGCGCGCCTACTGTCGACTCGGCTGCTCACGCAGCCGCCAGCTCTCCAGATACGGCCCAGACGCAGGGAGAGCAGGCGCAAGCACTGCACACCCAAGCAGGGCATGCTCGCGAGCACAGCAACACAAACGACCAGCGCCTTGACTCCGTGTCGCCGGGTCGAGAGGGGCAAGCTGCTGCAATCGGAGCGCAATCGGAGTCGGAGCAGGATTGGCTGCATCGCTACGCTGCCTCACCTCCCCTCTCTCCGCCACATTCCGATGCATGGAACAGCGCAGAGCGACATCATGCGAGCGACTTTTGGCATCATTCGCCAGAATGGGCTTGGCCCGCGCTGCCGCTGCCAGCAGCAGGACTAGACGTTGAGCCTGCACAGCTTCAGGATCATCTTGCCGCGCAGGAGCAGCAACACGCTATGGATGTGCACGATGAGCATGATTGGATCCAGCACCTGCTGCGTACGCCCCCGAGAATCCACTTGCCGTGAGGCGGCTCGGCGTCCATCCAGTTCGAGCGCATGGGCG